AGATATTTATATTAAGACTCATAACTGTAGCACAATTACAGTTATGAAATAGTAACAAAAATAACTTTATGGTTGGGGTTACCACAACATCAGGAACTGTATTAAATGGCCATGTAATAAGAAAGGTTGAGAAGCACTGATTGAAGGTAAATGGGATAGTAGCAGAAGATAATTATAGGAAAGGAAAACTAAACGAGAATAATTATGAGGACCCAGCAAGCTGCAAAGCTTCAGACTGAAAAGGACAATACCAATAGACATGCTACCATGGAAAGGAGGCATCTCACAGGGACCCAACCCTAGACAAGGAACTACAGGCATGTAAGAGATGCTGAGAGAAGAAGAAATAGTCTTCCCCAGAGGACATCACACTAGTTGTTTATCCAATATCAAATAATCAACCCTGAAAATTAATCATATACATATATATACATATATATATATACATATATATACATATATATATATATATATGTAGCATTATACATACTAAGAAAGTTGTATTTATAAATTTAGGAATATATAAATGAGAGAGAAAAAAAGGCCAGAGGCCCTGGATCTGAGAAAGAAAAAAAATGGGATACAATGGGGGAGGCGGGTGTTGGTCTGGTATATTAAGTTGAGACAGGACAAAGACCCTCCCCCCTGTATCAAGGCTGAGGAAAGTATCCTACCATAAAGAATGGGCTCCAAAAAGCCAGTCCATGCACATGAGATAAGTCCTGGTCCCACTGCCAGCCCCTCCAACAGATCAAGCCACGTAATTGTCACCCACATTCAGAGGGTCAAGCTGCAGGTTCCCTAGCTGTCAGTCCATAGTCTGTGAGCTCCCACTGGCTCATATCAGCTGTCTGTGGTTTTTCCCATCACGGTCTTCACGCCATTGTTCATATGATCCCTTGCTTCTACTTAACTCCAGGAGCTTAGCCCAGTGCTTGGCTGTGGATCACTATATCTACTTCCATCAGTTACTGGATGTAGGTTCTATGATGACAATTGGGGTACTCACTAATCTGATTAAGGGCAAGGCCAGTTTAGGCCTCCCACCCTCTCCACTCTAGCTAGGAGTCTTAGTTGGGGTCATCCTTGTGGATTGCTGGGAATTTTCCTAGTGCCAGGTTTCACACTAACCCCATTATGGCTCCCTCTATCAAGATATCTCTTTCATTGCTCTCCCTCTCCCCAGTCTCCTTCCCTCCCTCCAGTTCTACAATCTCCAATCCAAATATTCTCATCCCCTCCCTTCTACTGCCCCTCCCACTTTACCCAGTAGATCTTATCTATTTCCCATTCCTAGAGCCCACCATGTGTGTACCTCTTAGGTTCCTCCTTTTTACCTAGCTTCTCTGGGGTTGTGGATTGTAGCCTGGTTATCCTTTGCTTTATATCATAAAAAATATGATTCAGAAAATCCTTTAGACTGAAATAGTTTTATCCCTCCTTCATGTTAATACCAGCATAACTATATTAATACCTAATCATTTATTCTACTTTTATTCTCATATTGGTTCATGTTTATATAAAGGAATCTTATTGAACTTAATTTTAGAACATATCAAAGATGCCTCAGAGGAGGCATGAGGATTGCACCCAAACAGATAAGAGGATGCCAAGCACATTGACTGAGTGCTTTTATTCAACAAAAAACGTCCTTCTCAGAGCTCTACATGCTAAGAATACCAACTTCAAGATATTAAAATATTTGGTATCTGAGAGAAAAAACTTTCAGGTTCACATATCGTGACTTCTCCTTATGTTATCGTGGGGAAGTGGCCACATCAAAACCTCTCTTGGAAGGGCATTGGTCCCATTCACAAGAGCTATGCCAACATGGCATTATACTGCTCCTAAGGATGCATCATTTACTATTGTCACCTCAAAGAATAGGATTTCAAAATGAGGAAACACGAACACACAAACTAAAACAGGGACTTCATACCCTGTTTTGTGGAAAGTCTTTACATCTAGTGGTATGTAAGAGTGGAGAGATAATATTCCTCTTTTCTATGCTAGAAAATTAAATATTCGTTAAAACAAGGCATATGTTACAAGGCTGTTCTGTGAGACACTTGTAAAGTGTCACTTGGGCTAAGCTCAACTCTACGTCCCAAATAGCTTTCTTTAAGCATTTCTCACTAGGTTGCTCACAACAGAAGTTTTTTTCTGAGTTTTGGAGAGTAGAAGTGATACAGTAGCCCTGCTTTAGTTTTTCCATGATGATTTAGGTCCAGGGCCCTCTTTTTTCTCTGTAGGTCTATCTTGATGCCAATGGTAGTAGTTACCTTCATGGCTATAGAGAACAGTGTCCACTGGGTCCAGACTCTCTATCATCTTTGCCAGGTTCCAGGTTGTGGACTTTGAGGCAATACAAACATTTCTCCTGTGGGTTCCACATTGGCAGTAAGGCTGTTTGCCTAAAGATGGACAAAATCATAGTGAGAGTTTCTAACATTTCATATCCCATTTTTCATCTATTCCTCCATGTCATATTCACTCTTCCCTTCTGGACCCATGTTCTGTGAGTGGAGGCTTACACTTGGTTCTAAATAAGCAGCTATATCAATATTGTTTTTACCAGTTTCCATTGAAGTATGCAGCTAAATATCCATAGTGATTTCATTCTGGAACAGAGAAAATATCTTAGCTCATTGGTACTTCTGTAACAAGATGCTATAGAGTAGGTAACTTATATGTTATTTCTTATTTCTTAGTATATTGGTGCCTGTGAGTCCAAAACTAAGTCACTGACAGTTGCTATGTCTGTCTCATCTGCTTGCATGGAGGCACTATTTTGCTTCATCTTCCAGAGGGAATCACTATTGTGTCTTCATTTTATAAGGCTCAGACCTTTCATTACAGGAGAGCCCTTACGATCTCATAACCTACTTATATGACAATAGATACTGTTGTGTTGAGCATTAGGCTTAGATATGAACTTTAGTTGAGAAAGAAACATTCAGGCCACAGAAGTGAATCAAGTAATTTACCAGATAATAAGCACATTTTGAATTTGCCAGAGTGAGCCTCATGTTCCATACACAGGGCTCTTTGGCCTCTTTTGAAGTCCAACGTAAATCTTTATTTCTAAATCCCACTCACTGTTAGTCTGTCCTGATTTTTTTCAAATAATTGTTTATTACTTAAAAATGAAAATATAAACATATCATTCCCCATTCCCTTTCTCCCATTTCTAAGAGCCCTTCTGATGTATACCCTCATCTTGCTACCTCTCATATTCATGGCCTCTTTTTCTTTAACTGTTATTTGTATCTAACACTAGACAAAGAACTATAAACAACTGAGGAGTATCGAGAATGGGAGAATCAGTGTTCCCCAAGAAAGAGCCCTCCATCCTGATATTTTATAGGCAATATATTGCATGGAACAATCTTTCTGCCATAGACTAGTTCAGGTTTAACTTTTGGGCCTACCATGATTTTGAGAAGCTCACTCCACTGCATGCTTTTCAACCTCTAACACTGTCTCTCATCAACGGTGGAGAAAGTCTGGTTGCTGCTACTGAGGGCCATGAATTTCTTTGTATTTGGCTAATTAACCTTTCTACATTCTCTTTGATATTTATGTGTTTTATGAAAACGCCATGTTCCCCTTTTGAAGTGGGAGTTTGCTAAATTGTTATTAACTTCTACATTTTGTGGGAATGATTAAGGAGATTGGTGGGTGTCATTTTCCTGAAATGGGATGTTTTTGTTTAAAGATTTTCACTATAAACATGAAAAGGTATTTTATTTCTTCATAGTAGAAAAATTCTTTATATTTTGGAATTCTTTATTCTGGTCTAACTGGGAAGAATGAAACAGAAAGTTTTAGTTTTGATAACTCATCCTAGAAAAGCTGTCATTTTAATTTCTGACATGCTTTTCCTCTTTTTGCACACATTTATAGGAGGATTGGTTTGGATTTGGCAGTGGGAGTTAAATACTTTCCAGGTCCTGGTTTGTTTGATTTTTCACTTTCAACTCTTTGTTTTGACTGTAACCATTTAAATTTTTCAACATTTGGCTCTTTTCTGTGTCCTTTAATTTTACCACTGCTTAAATATGAGCTATACAATGATTGGGTTTTTTTATTATTTTGGATCTTATTTTATATGTGTATTGGTGCTTTTTCTTGCATATATGTCTGTACATCACATGTATACAATGCCCAATGAGACCAGAAGGTACCAGATGCCCTCGAATTGGAGTTACAAATGGTTGTTAACCCCCACGTGGGTGCTGGGAATCGAACCCGGGTCCTCTGGAAAAGCAGTAAGTACTCTTCTGAGCTATCTTTCCTGCCCTTCTACAATTGTTTTATAACTGTTTATATTTGCATAACCCATGCCAAATAGAAGTCAGTGTGGAGAGGCTCATTCATATTGATACACTATTATTTTGCTGACAATATAAAATTTAAAATACGGGGCTCCTATCACCTTAAAAGTATCCCAAGACAGTAAGGCCTCAACGGAAAAAGGTCTGATTCTGAGCAGTCCAGTAAGGCCTCAACGGAAAAAAGGTATGATTCTGAGCAGTCCCTTGAATTCAAAGACCATTATCGCTCATTGGGCACAATGAGTGTCAATCACTATGTCTCAGCAAATGAGCTTACAGTTCTGATGACGTGTGAGAGGGACCATTATTACTCTTCAAGGCTCCACCCCCTCATACTGGTCATAAGCCATCTTGTGGCTCACCTCGGTAGGCTGCTCCTCCTGGTGCTGTCTAGCCCTTCCTTTTTAGGTGTTCCACACGAACCAAATCCATCGGTTGACTAGTGGAAAACCTTCACTACTGCTCTCACTGCCTCCAAGGAGGTACCTGTGGCCAACAGCCTTCCTCTTTGTCTTTGACTGCTCTCACTGCCTCCAAGGAGGTACCTGTGGCCAACAGCCTTCCTCTTTGTCTTGGTAGTCAACTTAACAACGCCTCATCCCAACCAACACCTTCAGAGCTCCAAGTTTGCAGTAACATCTTGACTGGCAAATATATTGTGTCATGTCTGCTGTTGCAGAGCAGGAGCCAGGATTACCTGAGCAACAGCAAGAAGGTAGTGGGATGGGGCATGACGCCAGACAAATTGTCTTGCATGTACTACCAATAGACGACGCTATTGATGACATCGACGGAACCGTGGCATTTCTGGTTTCTCAAGCAGTAGTGAGAGCAATTGCGGAGGAAGGGTGTGGGCAGGAGGAGATATGGCCCGATATTGAGGAGATATGGCCTCAAGTGGAAGGCATCTGGCCTGAAGAGGAGGAGGTATGGCCTGATGTCGAGGAGGACTGGTATGTCTGGAACAATGACCAAGAGAATGAGGAAGTTTGGAGGGAAGCAGAGGACGACGACGACGACTATGACAACCAATACTACAATAATGAGGAAGATGAGGAGGAGGGCTACTATGACTATGATGACGATGATGAAGATGACGACGACGACGACGATGACGACGATGATGATGATTATGAATATGATGATTATGAGGAGGAGGATGAGGAGGACGAGGACGAGGAGAACGAAGACGAAGAACAAGATGAGGTTCTGGGGGAGGAGATCGTCCTGCATGCTTGTGAGTTCACCTAAGGGGGTTTCAGGTCCCGATAGAGAAAATTTGTTTCTCTTAAATACACCACGCCACTAAAGTGTGTATACATGCTATTAACAACCACATTTTGCTTCACCCAAGGCAAGGGACGTAAAATTCAGTCATTGGGAGCTCACAGATTCAGGAGAGGGAAGAACTATCCAAGAAGTCCAGACCTGTCAAAGGAAGCATAGAATTGGGAGGGTGAGTGTCTATTAGGAGGAGCTACCTCCAGGATGGCTGTCTTTGGTAACATCCCAAAAGGGATCCCAAGGTGCATTACACAGCTCAGAGGAAGCTGAGGGTGGCATGTTCTAGTACAGTGAGTCCTTGACTAACACTTCTGTATTTTATTAGTTGCTGATTTTTGCAACAAAGGGAACAAGGCCACCAAACATCAGCAAAGCTGTTTACCATTCAGCATCTGTTGGCATTGGTAGCTCACTTGCAGACCATACACAGAAAACTTGGTGTTAAAGTGGGAAACCAATTCTATCAATACCCTGTTATTGAGGTATTTGGGGGAGTGGTTTGCTGCTTTTTACCAATCTGTTTGATAAGATTACCAATTCAGTATACAATCCTACAGTAGGTGACTGTTGCTTTTTTAAGGAATATTTACAAAGGAGTGTTGGAGGATGGAGAGACCAGAGGCAAACAGCAAGCAAATGCTATATATTGGTTTTGGATGAGGGTTTTAAGAATGCAAATAGGATCTAATGTAGGATGATACAAGATAATGCTGAATAGCTATAAGGATACTTGAAAGTTGTAAAAATCAGATATGAAGAGATTGGGGATATCAATGAGATAGATGCACTACAGAATTTGTCTTCAAATATAACAAATGTTTTTTTTCAACAAATCTCTACAAATAATGAAAATTCAACAAGAGGGAAATAATTCTACTTTCTTCCAAAGGACCAGAAATAATCAAAAGTACAGGATGTTCATGCAATTAGGAAAGGGGGAAAGCACCCTAAAGGAATACAGAACTCAGCAGATATGTGAAGTTCAGAAATGTAGCTACCATTGGGAAGCTGCCAAGACTACTGGATTTTGTTTGCCTACTTCTTTAAATGGAAGGGCATGAAAATTTTTAAAATTATGGTTTATTAGAGGACAGAATATTTTAACACAGAATAACTTATTTGTCTCTTTGCAAGGTCATGGTATAGCCAGAAAAAAACAAGGCCTTTCAAGGTGATTGAAGGTATTAGATGATACGAGTATCCTGATACACAAGTGTTTGAGTTTCAAGAAGAAAATACGCTCATTGTTTTGTTAAGAAAACAGAAAGATATGATATACTAACTTAAGATAAAAAGTAGTTCATGTTAATGTTTTCCAGTTGTTAATTATCTCTTATTCTTCCTACAGTCTGAGGGCAAAGGAAGGCGTGGATGAAGATGGACTCGAATTGGTTCTTCATGGATTTGAGATCTTCTAAAATTTATTCACAGATGAAAATTATCACCACTGATACTGTTATAAATTTCTTCATTAAAAATATACACACTGAAAACTTCCCCCATTGTTTAATCATTCCTTAGATTAAAAATAAAAATCATTTGAAATTAATAAATTGTAGAGGTTTTGTATCAATAAAACTAACTCAAGTTGACTGATGTATACTTTTGTTTCAGCCTACCAGTCCCAGAAGCAGATCACTTTTAACTGCTTTAAGTCCTCTTATTACACTCTCAATAAATTGCATTAGTAAGTTTAAACCATTTATTGAAAAAACAAAGATGTGTAAGACCTTACCAGGCCACCTGACCTTGGGTGTCAGTTGGGGGGCCTGGACAGTCTATGGGGCCTCTGGCAATGAAACCAGTGTTTATCCCTAGTATAAAAATGGACTTTTGGGGCCCATTCCCTATGGAGGGACACTCTCTCAGTCTAGATAGATGGGGGAGGGCCCCCAATGATGTAATAGACTTTGATGATCCCCTATGGGAGGCCTCACCATCCCTCAGGAGTGAATGGGGAGTAGGAAGGGGGATGGTGGGGAGAATCGGAGGAAAGGAGAGAGAGGGAACTGGGATTGGCATGTAAAATAAGATTTTTTTACAAAATGCCAAAAAAGAGAAAAAACATATGGAGGTCTAGCATAGTCTGAATTTTATTCACAGAAACTGACAAGTGACCCAGTTTGTCTGGAAACAAGATGAGGCCCTTTGACACATGGAACAGCAAAAGCAGCAGCAGCACCTGGGAATTTGTGAGCAAAGCCAATTCCTTGGCTCCATTCAAGATGCACTAGATAATACATTCTCAAATTGACATGGCAGAGCTTCTGAAGAGCTCTAGTTTATTCTTTTTTATTCTTAATGTCAACATAATTTGAAAACTGCTAATCCAGAGTAATGTTCCACTATGATTGGATCAGTGTGATATCACTGAATTGAGACCCTTTAAAATAAATTAAATAAAACAACAAATACTGGATCTTGGATGAGGGATGGTACAGGGAGATCACACAATTATGAGAGGTCTAAGACACAGAAAGACCTAAAATGGCAAATATTGGATGTTGTAGTGGAGAAAAATATATAAGGCAAAAAGACCATTTCTGGATACATTATAAAACACATATAAAGTTTAAAAACATGTAAAACAACAATAAATACAATTATATAAACATATATAGTAAAGTGAGTATTGTGATGCATGCTTATGTAGCATGCAAAGAATCTTCTATGAGAATGAAAATACCTATTTAGGATTACTGGGTATATTTTTTAAGAAAAGGGGAGTATTTAAAGGGTAGGGCTACATGGTGTACTTCAACTACATCATAGTATATCGCTTAGGTTAGTTCAAGGGTGTATACATGTAAGTACTCACTACACCTTGTTATAGGTTAGCGATGTTTCGAGAAGGGAAATGGAAAACAGGAAGGGTAAAATAAAAAAAAATGGTTCAACAACTGGAATCTGTTTAAGGGAAAAAGATGGATGTGACTAGAGTAGAGAATCAGAAGAAAAGGGACAGGATGTTAGGGGTGGAAAGCTATGTTCTACCAGTATTATAAAGCTTCAGAGGTGCTCATTTGCCTTAACACCTCCAGTTGTATTCTATGGGAACACATCTCATTTTAAAATATTACATAGCATTATTCACATGTATATCATTGTCATTCTCTAGAGGTCAAGTTTCCAAATTATTAGGACTTTTTAAAAGTTTGACTTACATATCTTTCTTTTCTTCTTTTTTGAGGGGCATTTTCGAGACAGGGTTTCTCTGTGTAGCTTTGGAGGCTGTCCTGGAACTAGCTCTTGTAGACCAGGGTGGCTTCGAACTCACAGAGATCACCTGTCTCTGCCTCCCAAGTGCTGGGATTAAAGGCGTGTGCCACCAACGCCCAGTTATGTATCTTTCTTAATGTACCCATCATTGTGTTTTCCACTTGGTAGATGTTTGATAAACATTTCTTGCAAAAAAAGCTTGCTTAATGCACACATAATTCCATTTTGGGTCACCAATGTTGACATTTAAAAACACATTATCAGTGATGGGATAATAAGGACCATGACAGAAATAGAAAAAATGGATTCATTAAAGTGTTATATAACACAAAAGGGTATGTATAGTCTAAAATAATTTATTGCATATTTTTAAAAACTAGAGAAGGAAGGTTTTCAGACTCTCAACACAGAAATTCAAATGTTTGATAAGATAGTGTGACTCAGTTTGATTTTATCATGAAACATTGTATATAAATACATGTACCAAACTATCACACTATACTCCATAAATAAATGCAACTGAACACTCATTAAAACTAAAGATAATACAGTCTACATAGTACATATTATTAGTAATTTTACATATTTGTGGCAGGCAGATGGGACAGAGACACACTGTAAGTCCTTTTTCACATTCACACTGAGTAGAGAGTACAAATAGGAATTTATCTTAGTGTCATTGAAGACATTCCCATTCATTTTAATTGGTTGCTTCTGGAATTTCTGCTAATATAACTAACTTATACATCTTCTTTCCACTACACATGAAGTATAGCCACAAATCTCTTGGTCTCTTCTCAGATTACTTAGGGACAACCTTCAGTTTAGATAATCAAGTATTTTTTAAGTTTATCTTTTGGTAATTTCATATATGTATACAATGTCACACCACTTTTCACGTCCACCTTCTTACAGGATCCTCAACATGCCTCTTCTAACTTCATGGCCTCTATTTTTATAATCTACAGTTATGATTTTGGGGCCATCTACTGGAGCTTGGGCAACCTATCACAGGCCACACCCTAAAGAAATCAACTTCCCCTCTCCTAACAGTTATCAACTGCCAGTAACTCCTCAGCTAGAAGTGGGGAACTGATGAGGCCTCTCACAATCCCTGGTGGAATTTTTGATAATCTTAATTTTGTGCATGTCTTATGCAGGCAACCACAATTGCTGTGAGTTCATGAGTACAATAGTTTTGTCATGTCAAGAAGACATTATTTTGCAGCAGTCCTCCCTAATCTCTAGCTCTTAACAATCTTTCTCACAGGATTCATAGTTGGGGAAGATTTCTAGAAGCCTGCTTAGCACCTTCTAGAACTATGTAAGCTAGCCAGTAGGGAGGAAGCTTCCAGGTCAATATCATCTTGGTGTTTTTTTGTTTGTTTGTTTGTTTTGTTTTTATTTTTTTTTCCCCGTGACCAAAATGTGAGACGTCTTCAACAATAGGAACTTTCCTTTGCATTCTGGTGGATGACTAAGAGCAATGGCAATAGCCTGAATTCATTGAGGGTTCTCTAGGATGCCTATGACCACAAATTGTAGTGTTTATCTCAGATTTGGCATTAGGCTTTTTGTTTGATACCCTATGACTTCTCAGAGCAGCATTATTTCTTTACATGGAGCAAATCCAAATAAACCTGTGTTTCACATACATATTTTTGGATACTTTTAAAATAATAGGTTTCTATATGGTCTTTCCAAGCATTCTCGCTGATATATATCCCTCCTTCTATGCCTGTACCTTG